GTGTGTAGTTCCCACCGTAAAGCATGGAGGAGGTGTTGTTATGTTGTGGGGGTGCTTTGCTGGTGACACTGTCTGTGATTTATTTAGAATTCAAGGCACACTTAACCAGCATGGCTACCACAGCATTCTGCAGCGATAATCCATCCCATCTGGTTTGGGTTTAGTGGGACTATCATATGTTTTTCAACAGGACAATGACCCAACACACCTCCAGGCTGTGTAAAAGCTATTTGACCAAGAAGGAGAGTGATGGAGTGCTGCATCAGATGACCTGGCCTCCACAATCCCCCGACCTCAACCCAATTGAGATGGTTTGGGATGAGTCGGACGGCAGAGTGAAGGAAAAGCAGCCAACAAGTGCTTAGCATATGTGGGAACTCCTTCAAGACTGTTGGAAAAGCATTCCAGGTGAAGCTGGTTGAGAGAATGCCAAGAGTGTGCAAAGCTGTCATCAAGGCAAAGGGTGGCTATTTAAAGAATCTCAAATATAAAATATATTTTGACTTGTTTAACACTTTTTGGGTTACTACATGATTCCATATGTGTTATTTCATAGTTTTGATGTCTTCACTATTATTCTACAATGTAAAAAAATAGTACAAATAAAGAAAAACCCTTGAATTAGTAGATGTCCAAACTTTTGACTGGTACTGTACTTCAACAATAAAGTGATTATGAAATAAACTTTTCTAGCCAACATTCCACACAGTTTGACACAGCAGACAAGGAAGAGGTACATATTTTTTATTCTGAACTGAAGTAGCTATATACAATAAGAGAGATTCGGTTCATTATGGTTGGGAGGATGATCCTGACTTTGATCCTGTCTCATTGTTTTATTGCACAGTCATGGTCATATCTTAAACCTTTAATTAGCCAGGTAAGACAGCTAGGTCACTGAACTCTAGCGCTGGATCTTCCAAACACCTTGAATGATTGATCTGTATACACCCAGGTACTGAAGGTCAAGGCTCATCTATTTTCCTCCAATAAAATGCTTGTTAAGGTCAATTTCAAAACCAAACCATTGTTGGGGTAATAGGGAAATGTTCTAATAGTCTGTGAAATTAAATATATTTCCTTACTAGGTATAAACCCCAAATAAACAGAAATTGGTCTACATTTGGATTCACAGCTCAGTCATTCTATAAAAGTGTGGCCGTTCTGAAATGTTAACAGGTCATGTATTTCCACCTGGCGGTCAATATGAGGATACGAGCTGTAAACACGGTCATATACAGCCACCTGGCGGTCAATATGAGGATACGCAGGGATGGCTTTTGACACAGGTCATGCATTATATTGACCAGGTAAAAGCATTTTAATGCTGCAATATGTCATTTTTTGGCCGACCGAAAAAATTCGCATGGAAATACCTAAGAAGCAGTAGATCTGTTATTCTCATTGAAAGCCAGTCTAAGAAGCGGTAGATCTGTTATTCTCATTGAAAGCCAGACTAAGAAGCGGTAGATCTGTTATTCTCATTTAAAGCCAGTCTAAGAAGCGGTAGATCTGTTATTCTCATTGAAAGCCAGTCTAAGAAGCGGTAGATCTGTTATTCTCATTGAAAGCCAGTCTAAGAAGCGGTAGATCTGTTATTCTCATTGAAAGCCAGACTAAGAAGCGGTAGATCTGTTATTCTCATTGAAAGCCAGTCTAAGAAGCGGTAGATCTGTTATTCTCATTGAAAGCCAGACTAAGAAGCGGTAGATCTGTTATTCTCATTGAAAGCCAGTCTAAGAAGCGGTAGATCTGTTATTCTCATTGAAAGCCAGTCTAAGAAGCGGTAGATCTGTTATTCTCATTGAAAGCCAGTCTAAGAAGCGGGAGATCTGTTATTCTCATTGAAAGCCAGTCTAAGAAGCGGTAGATCTGTTATTCTCATTGAAAGCCAGTCTAAGAAGCGGGAGATCTGTTCTATGTGCTCTATTTCTATGCATCCCGTTTTTAAGTTTCGTTTTTGAGTCTTTTACTTTCGGCTTTGTACACAAGGTTCAAACAGCTGAAAATACAATATTTTTGGTTATGGAAAATATATTTCACAGTGGTTTAGATGGTTCAATGATTCTCTACAACAGAGATGGACAACTTTGATGGGGGTGAGGGCCACAAAAAACGGAACTCATCATTAGGGGCTGCAGTGGTTCGTGGTTCTGTGTACCCACATCCATAACCCAGTTACTCAAGTGGCCGCTCTAACCATGAAATGAAATGTCTTCATAAATGGAAGGCAGTCAGGAAGCAAGAGCAGATAGGACCATTCTAGCCAATGAGAGGGCAGACACGCATGTGAATAACAGGCACAATCAGAGATATTAGCAAAAGGATCTCTGGCTCAACTTCTATATGTGTTTTTTCTCAAAGTTGCCGGGGTGTCACGTGTCCTACTTATATCAGTACACTCGTAACAACTTAAGCATTCCGAAACGTTTATTCGATCAAATAAGCCTCACGTAGCACATAAGATATTAATTTTTTTGTTGATAGAATTCAACAGTCATTGACCTCCATACAACAACAAAACACCTAGCTTAGTGAACGAAACGAGACAACGCCACCTTCTTCTTCTTCGGGTTTAATGGCGAACTACACGCAAGGTGTAATGTCGCCACCAACTGTACGGGGGTGAAACAATTCACTAAAAGAAAAGTAAATTCCACTACGGGGAAGAGAAAATGAACATTAATCCACACAAACTACAAAAGAATTTCAGTCATTCGAAACCTCGAATCCCCTGTTCAGGCTCTGGGGCCTGAGAGGGTGGGTCTGCATGAGTCAATAATTGTGTAGCTCAGATGGTAGAGCATGGCGGTTGCAACGCCAGGGTTGTGGGTTCGTTTCCCACGGGAGGCCAGTATGAAAAAATGTATGCACTCACTAACTGTAAGTCGCTCTGGATAAGAGCGTCTGCTAAATGACGTAAATGTAAAAATAAAACAAGTTATTCACTACCATCAGGCCTTCAGCTCCTTAGATAATAGGAGACAGACTGAAATGCCCTGATTTTGGCCACCTCCATCTCTTTCACCCTATTTGGGCATTCCAAAGATGTCGTCTCAGGTTCGCCACCACAGTTACTACACTTTATTCCTCTCTTCTTCTATACAGTCTCCATCAAAGTAATCTTCCTTCACATCTCGGCTCCTTCCGTCTGCAGACACTCTCTACATGACCCAAATGTTCACGTCTTACACCGCAATGGCCTGGATACAAAAGCTCTGACAGGGTAGTACACATATCCCAGCTGTCCTCGGTTTGGGGGGGGGGGACTCCACGTCGAAAAACAGAACAGACGACGAACATCGAAAACAGAACAGACAAACTCTTCTCCTTCCCAGTGTTGCCAACTTAGCGACTTTGTCGCTATATTTAGCGACTATTCAGACCCCTCTAGCGACACATTTTCAAAAAAAATAGACTGCCGACAAATCTATCGACTTTTTGTGGTGTTATTGGAGAATTTTGGAGACTCTGACGTGAAAGCACGTATCGTTCTTACTCTTCTCAACGAGCAGCGGGTGCTGCTGTGGGCCCCACCCCACACCCCTGGGCCCCACCCCCGTCCCAAAGCACTCACAGGCGGCGCAGCAGTCCCTCCCAGCTGCAGTCAGAGCAGGAGATGTTCACCCCTCCGCGTCCAGACTGCAAATGAATCGCGCATGCGGGAAGACAAAAATAAATCACTGCATTTGACTCCCACAGCCTCAGTCACTTACTCACCTCGTCCACTGTGTGTGCGCCTCTCTGTGACATAAGCTAAACATCTAGCTGGCTAGCTCCTCATGTCTCAGTCTAAACTGTACACTCAAAAATACAGAAAGGAGTGGGAATCAAACCCTGAATTCAAAGGCTGGTTGAAGCCGTTTATTGGAGATGATACACGGGCATACTGCCTGTATTGTAAGGCTGATTTCTACGCCAAACTTAGTGATGTAAAAAAAACACATGACAACTCAAAAACATACTCAAAAGGCAAAGCCTTATAACAGTTCCACCCAAAACAAGCTGCCATTTATGGTTAAAAAAATTGACTCTGCAAAAAAGACTGAGGCCACCATGGCATTAGCTATCGCTGAACACTGTTCCATGCTGGCATGTGATCACATTGGAGAAGCATGTACAGCTGCTTTCTCAGACTCCACTGCTGCTACCCACTTCAAAACGCACAGGACAAAGTGCACAGAAATGATTAATGGTGTTCTAGCACCATACTTTCTGAAAAAGTTGGTCGCAGATGTGGGTGACCAGCGTTTCAGCCTCCTCCTCGATGAGTCCACGGATGTAAGTGTTTCTAAGTACCTGGGGGTTGTGATAAGGTACTTTAGTGACACCAAGCAGACAATTGTATCAACAATTTTTTTTGGTGACTTCTAGTGACTTTTAGGACAGCCAATAGCTCCTTTCCTTACTGGGGAGTTGTCAAGACTGCCCACTGCTCATTCCTTCCATTAACCACACGATTCATCCTATGAACGTCGACCACTCTAGGATTTTTTGGGTGCCCTGCTCCGTAGCTCAAAACACAACACAGGATAATAATTAACTAGAGGCCAACAAACGTTCCTTTTGATCAGCTGAAACGCACGAAATCAGTGCAAGCGCACTCCTCTTGTATTTCACTGACTACTGTACCCAAGGCTTTTTTCACCATTTTGGATCCTGTCCACGATCCACCAAATCGGGCCCCGATTCACTGAGGTATAATAAGAACAGCCCCAATACTCCCATAAAACGAACTCTTACCAGATACCATGGGGTAAAACCAACTCTAGACGTTTCATTTCCCCACAATAATTGTACTTAATTTTCCATCCTTTTTGGACAAAAGTCCATTCATCCTTATTTCCACCGCCATCAGATTCAAGCGCCTTCTCCGCTTCCGCCATCGTCCTTCCCCCGAAACAACGCCACCTGCTGGAGAAGCCAGATGTTGGCCCCAGGTATCCCTCTCGCTACGCCTCTTCCTCTCTGCTTTTTGGTCTACTCGCACCGGATATGACGTTGTTCTTGAACTTCCCATTCAATCGGCCCGAATCAGTCTTTCATGTAGTTGCAAGCTACATTCTTCTAAAAGTAGTAGAAAATGCACTTATCTCCGCTGTAAATGGTATTGCCAACGAGGTAAGTGGCTTTCTTACCGTTTCATATTCAAGCGGAAAGATGTGTAGATTTTTTTCTCATATGAAAATGGGTCAAGGTAGCTAATAAATACATGGCGTTGACTCCCACGCTATGCTAAGCTAACTCGTTACCTTAGCATTCTAGCAAGACTAGAGGGACTGCGTGCAGACGTGACCGTTTCAGTTTTTATCCCATGACCTGTCAAACTGTCACTAACGATGTCGTTAGCAGAACTGGGTTGCACATCGAGCAGTATATGGACATACATATAGCGATATTATGGACAGACAGGTTAACGTTAGCTATGGCTAGTGTGCAGGTTACTGCTTTAATTTCACTGAAGTTGATTGACAGCTGTCATTTAAAGCGCAGCATTCCACTTTCTATGCTTATCTAGGAGTTTCGGTTTTTAGTGCAGCCTTCTAATAGGCATGTAATTGATCATATACTAGCTAATTTGAGCTCACGCACGTGTACTATTCTTCTAACAGGTATTTACCAAAGTGTAACGTTACATATAAAGTCATCTTTTTACGGGAACAATGGTGAAGTACTTTGCCTGCGTGGGTCTTCTGAAAAGCTCCTGGGACCAAGTCTGCACTGCTTTCTGGGAGCGATATCCCAACCCCTACAGGTAAGAAAGACACCCTTAACCCCTACAGGTAAGAAAGATACCCTTAACCTAGCCCAATACTGGACAAAAGGAGCCTAAAGTTAATCCTTAGTCCAGCGTTTCCCAAACTCGGTCCTGGGGACCACAAGGGGTGCACGTTTTAGTTTTTGCCTTAGCACTGCACAGCTGATTTAAAAATAATCAAAGCTTGATGGTGAGTTAATTATTTGAATCAGCTGTGTAGTGCTAGGGCAAAAACCAAAACGTTCACCCCTTAGGGTTTGGGAAACGCTGCCTATGTCCAAGAACCTTACATGTTCTGTTTATAGGGCGAATTGGCTCTGGGAGCCAAAACAGCCAAATACTCCATCTAAACGTGAATCGATTCTCAACTGCTGAACTGTTCTAGAAACACAAAGCCCTCTACTTTCATATCACATCAAAATTATTTCACAAAAGCAAAATACACATTTACTGTACACAGTTGCTGCCAGCAGTATTTTTCAGTGACAATACGTTTGTGGCGTCTGTCTGTCCATTTACACACAGGAAACGCAGATAGCTAATTAGCACAGGTATTAGCACAGCTAATTAGCACAGGTAGTCCACTCTGTCTTCCATCTGTAAACGAGCGCTGTAACATGGAGAGATGGCCGGGTGGGAACCCTATAATGGTGTGTATCAATTTAGCATTTCGATTTTTGAGAATTATTTCTCGCCGGTATGAAAGATAAGGTCCTTATGGTTCCAAAACCATACCGCAAGCGATGCGTGTTAATGGTCAGACCGAGCATCGCGGCTCTAAACAAAACTCCTCCCTACAGAAGACGCCTTCGTCCAATGACTCTTATGTGTAATGTAATGGAACTTTCCTGTGGATATTCTGTCTAAAATTTTGAGTGAATGAAGGACCAACCGCACAGACAACCGGTAGAGTAAGTTCAAATGTAATTTTATTAAACAGTCTGGCTTGTAAGGAACACTTCAACAATTTTGCAGAGATACGTTTTAGACTGTATATCAAGCATTGCTTGAATAATTAGGCAACCCCTACAGGTAAGAAAGATAGTGTAGACGTCACAACGTTGTAGCATAGAGATGGATAGACATCACAACGTTGGAGCATAGAGATGGATAGACATCACAACGTTGGAGCATAGAGATGGATAGACATCACAACGTTGGAGCATAGAGATGGATAGACATCACATCACAACGTTGGAGCATAGAGATGGATAGACATCACAACGTTGGAGCATAGAGATGGATAGACATCACAACGTTGTAGCATAGAGATGGATAGACATCACAACGTTGGAGCATAGAGATGGATAGACATCACAACGTTGGAGCATAGAGATGGATAGACATCACAACGTTGGAGCATAGAGATGGATAGACATCACAACGTTGGAGCATAGAGACGTATAGACATCACAACGTTGTAGCATAGAGATGGATAGACATCACAACGTTGGAGCATAGAGATGGATAGACATCACAACGTTGGAGCATAGAGATGGATAGACATCACAACGTTGGAGCATAGAGATGGATAGACATCACAACGTTGGAGCATAGAGATGGATAGACATCACAACGTTGTAGCATAGAGATGGATAGACATCACAACGTTGTAGCATAGAGATGGATAGACATCACAACGTTGTAGCATAGAGATGGATAGACATCACAACGTTGTAGCAGTCCCGTCACTGCGTCTGTCACGGGGCAGCGCCATTGAGACAGATACAATGTTGCGACCTCTAATCTTGCAGTATCCCTTTAAGCTGTAATCATACCTAATTCACCCCTCCCGTCTCCTCTTCCCCAGCATGTCTTCACCCCTCCCGTCTCCTCTTCCCCAGCATGTCTTCACCCCTCCCATCTCCTCTCTTGCTCCAAAGTCTCTGATAGTTTTTCCAATTCAATCATCTCTTCCCTCCCCACAGTAACCATGTCCTGACGGAGGACATCATCTTCAGGGAGGTAACCCCCGGTAACCGTCTGGTCTCTAGGCGACTGCTGACCAAAACTAACCGCGCCCCTCGCTGGATGGAGAAGTACCTGCCGGTTACCATGGCCAGGCACGCCTACATCATCGAGGATTCCATCGTGGATCCCCAGAACAGAACCATGACAACGCTGACTTGGAACATCAGCCACGCACGCATGATGGTACGTGTGACCAACTGGGATTCGAACTGTGACTGTGTTGGCCCGCTGAGCTAAAGCCTAGGCATTAGCTCAGGGAGCCAACGCAAGTCTTCATCTTTGAATTTACACTACGTGGTCAAAAGTATGTGGACACCTGCTCGTCGAACATCTCATTCCAAAATAATTGGCATTAATATGGAGTTGGTCCCCCCCTTAGCTGCTATAACAGCCTCCACTCTTCTGGGAAGGCTTTCCACTAGATGTTGGAACATTGCTGCGGGGACTTGCTTCCATTCAGCCACAAGAGCATTAGTGAGGTTGGGCACTGATGTTGGGCGATTAGGCTCGGCTTGCAGTCGGCGTTCCAATTAATCCCAAAGGTGTTAGACGGGGTTGAGGTCAGGGCTTTGTGCAGACCAGTCAAGTTCTTCCACACCAATCTCGACAAACCATTTCTGTATGGACCTCGCTTTGTGCATGGGGGCATTGTCATGCTGAAACAGGAAAGGGCCTTCCCCAAACAGTTGCCACAAAGTTGGAAGCACAGAATCGTCTAGAATGTAATTGTATGCTGTATCGTTAAGATTTCCCTTCACTGGAACTAAGGGGCCTAGCCCAAACCATGAAAAACAGCCCCAGACCATTATTCCTCCTCCACCAAACTTTACAGTTGCCACTATGCATTGGGGCAGGTAGCGTTCTCCTGGCGTCCGCCAAACCCAGATTAGTACGTCGGACTGCCAGATGGTGAAGCGTGATTCATCACTCCAGAGAACGCGTTTCCACTGCTCTAGAGTCCAATGGCGGCGAGCTTTACACCACTCCAGCCGACGCTTGGCATTGCGCATGGTGATCTTAGGCTTGTTTGCGGCTGTTCGGAAATGGAAACCCATTTCATGAAGCTCCCGACGAACAGTTGTTGTGCTGACGTTGCTTCAAGAGGCAGTTTGGAACTCAGTAGTGAGAGTTGCAACCGAGGACAGACGATTTTTACGAGCTACGCGCTTCAGCACTCGGTGGTCCCATTCTGTGAGCTTGTGTGGCCTACCACTTCACGGCTGAGCCGTTGTTGCTCCTAGACGTTTCCACTTCACAATAACAGCACTTACAGTTGACCGGGGCAGCTCTAGCAGGGCAGAAATTTGACGAACTGACTTGTTGGAAAGGTGGCATCCTATGACGGTGCCACATTGAAAGTCACTGAGCTCTTCAGTATGGCCATTCTACTGCCAATGTTTGTCTATGGAGATTGCATGGCTGTGTGCTCGATTTTATACACCTGTCAGCAACGGGTGTGGCTGAAATAGCCGAATCCACTAATGTGAAGGAGTGTCCACATACTTTTGGCCATGTAGTGTATTTGAATTTGAGCAGTATTTCCCTTTCACTATGAAGAACCAGGTCTTTATACTGCTCTGCACTGTATATCTCCTACTGCAGTTCTTAAATCACATTATAGACTCCATCGGCTATGTACAGTGCATTCAGAAAGTATTCAGACCCCTTTACTTTTTACACATTTTGTTACGTTACAGCCTTATTCTAAAATTGATTAAAACGTTTTTTTCCCCAATCTACACACAATACCCCATAATGACTAAGCAAAAACAGTTTTAAAAAAATAAAAAAATATTGAGACATCCAACCTGTATTGTAGTTTCATGACCAGAGACAAATCTTCAAAGGCACAGTATTTATTTATTCGGAGTGGCACATGCATTCACACAGTCTTGATTTATAGGATCCTTTCCACTATATGATTGATATGTCAAGTGGTAAAATACCAAGTTATCAATTAAAAGTTTATGGAAAAACTGCACTTGTCTTTGTGAAAATTACAGTTCATTAAATATTCTACAGCTGTAATGTCATCAATCAAATCAAACTTTATTGACAGTGCATTCGGAAAGTATTCAGACCCCTTGACTTTTCCACATTTTGTTACAGCCTCATTCTAAAATGGATTAAATTGTTTTTTCCCCTCATCAATCTACAAACAATAAACCATAATGACTGAGCAAAAACAGGTTTTTAGACATTTTTGCAAAAGTATTAAAAATAACAAACTGAAATATGACATTTCCATAACTATTCAGACCCTTTACTTTGTTGAAGCACCTTTGGCAGCGATTACAGCCTCGAGTCTTCTTGGGTATGACGCTACAAGCTTGGCACACCTGTATTTGGGGAGTTTCTCCCATTCTTCTCTGAAGGTCCTCTCAAGCTCTGTCAGGTTGGATGGGGAGCGTCGCTGCACAGCTATTTTCAGGTCTCTCCAGAGATGTTCGATCGGGTTCAAGTCCGGGCTCTGGCTGGGCCACTCAAGGACATTCAGAGACTTGTCCCGAAGCCACTCCTGCGTTGTCTTGGCTGTGTGCTTAGGGTTGTTGTCCTTTTGGAAGGTAAACCTTCGCCCCAGTCTGAGGTCCTGAGCGCTCTGGAGCAGGTTTTCATCAATGATCTCTCTGTACTTTGCTCCGTTCATCTTTCCCTCGATCCTGACTAGTCTCCCAGTCCCTTCCGCTGAAAAACATCCCCACAGCATGATGCTGCCACCACCATGCTTCACTGTAGGGATGGTGCCAGGTTTCCTCCAGACGTGACGCTTGGCATTCAGGCCAAAGAGTTCAAGCTTGGTTTCATCAGACTAGAAATCTCGTTTCTCATGGTCTGAGAGTCTTTAGGTGCCTTTTGGCAAACTCCAAGCGGGCTGTCATATGCCTTTTACTGAAGAGTGGCTTCCTTCTGGCCACTTTACCATAAAGGCCTGGTTGGTGGAGTGCTGCAGAGATGGTTGTCCTTCTGGAAGGTTCTCCTATCTCCACAGAGGAACACTGGAGCTCTGTCAGAGTGACCATCGGCTTCTTGGTCACCTCCCTGACCAAGGCCTTTCTCCCCCAATTGATCAGTTGGGGCCGGGCGGCCAGCTCTAGGAAGAGTCTTGGTGGTTCCAAACTTCTTCCATTTAAGAATGATGGAGGCCACTGTGTTCTTGGGGACCTTCAATGCTGCAGACATTTGTGGTACCCTTCCCCAGATCTGTGCCTCGACACAATCCTGTCTCGGAGCTCTACAGACAATTCCTTCGACCTCATGGCTTGGTTTTTGCTCTGACATGCACTGTCAACTTTGGGACCTTTTATATAGACAGGTGTGTGCCATTCCAAATCATGTCCAATCAATTGAATTTACCACAGGTGGACTCCAATCAACATCTCAAGGATGATCAATGGAAACAGGATGCACCTGAGCTCAATTTCGAGTCTCATAGCAAAGGGTCTGAATATTCATGCAAATAAGGTATTTCTGTTTTATATTTTTAATACATTTGCAAACATTTCTAAAAACCTGTTTTTCACTTTGTCATTATTGGGTATTGTGTGTAGATTGATGAGGAAAACAATTAATTTAATCAATTTTAGAATAAGGCTGTAACACAACAAAATGTGGAAAAAGTCAAGGGGTCTGAATACTTTCCGAATGCGCTGTATACACTATACTGTAGTCATAATAAGGTCTTGTTATGTTTTGATTCCCCTGTCAGTCTGTGGAGGAGCGTTGTGAGTACAGAATTAACCCTGACAACACCAGCTGGACGGAGATTAACAGAGAGGCCTGGATCTCGTCCAACGTCTACGGGCTCTCCAGAGCTATACAGGTGTGTGCAGTCCGAAACCCACCCCGCCAGGGGGAAGTGGTACTGGTACTATATAGCTATCCATGTAGATATATGAGTTACAGAAAGACTGTCGTAAAGGAACCACAAGCTGGCCATTTGCCTGTTCAGCCTGTGTAGAAGTTGTTGAATGATTGACTGTCTGGTATCTGACTTTGATAAACCCAGTTGGGTTCTAACTCTGAAAGTTAAGACATGTCCACACTAACTGCCAGCAACTACTAACATCATTCACTGTCTGTCGTTAGATCTGTTTGCGCCGTCAATTGTCAAGCTTGTCCAGGCTATTCTGTCACACCGTAACCACCACATGGTAAGAAATGTGACTGTTCCTGGTGCAAAAACACTGTGCTATCCCGGAGCTCGAGTAAATGACATTACTAAGCTGCTCCAGAATGTTCTCCGCCAGGACATGGACATCGATTCTATCGTAGACCATGTGGGGTTTTAATTACATTATGAAGCGCAGCTCTGAACAGTTGAAACTGGATTTTAAAGAGCTGATTGACTCTCTTCTAGACACTAATAAAAGACCCATCATATCTGGCCCTGTACCCTCTCTGAATCATGGCATCATATCTGGCCCTGTACCCTCTCTGAATCATGGCATCATATCTGGCCCTGTGCCCTCTCTGAATCGTGGTATTTAACGCTTTAGCAGGATTCTTTCTCTTCACAACTGGCTATGTGATTATTGCAGCTCAATGGGTGTAACTTTTGTTGACAATTTCGATACCTTTTGGAAACAAAACACGTTTTATGAGGAGGATGGGATCCACCCAAATAATTTGGGTTCCTGGATCCTTTCAAAGCATTATAAGGCTGCGTTGAGACAATGACTTATCAATGACCCAAGCCCAGCTCAATTAAACCCTACAATTGTGTCACTGAGTTGTCATAATGCTTCAGCAAATGTACATTATCCTAAGGGCGTTGGAAGACATCATGTAACTAACCTAATTTATGTCCCTCTTACTGCCCTGAATGCCTCTGCTGATCCTACAGCTGTTGTATGCAGTAATCATGTGCCTATGAACCAGATTTATGCTGTTAGCACTGAGGCTGTGTGCCCTAGTAGGAAGTCCACTGTGTGCAGCTCACCCTGCACTAACATAAATAACATGAGAATATCTACTTCTGCTAAGCTTCCCAGAAAAGCAATGAAAACAAGCAAGCATCCCAGAAAAGTGCTCAAAATAGCCCACGTTAACATATGTAGATTAAGAAACGAGGTTCATGAAATCAATAACTTGCTAGGATCAGATTACATTCATATTCTGACTATCTCTGAAACTCACTTAGACAATACCTTTGATACAGTGGTAGCAATACAAGGTGATAACATTTACAGAAAAGACAGAAATGCCAGTGGTGTTGCTGTTTATATTCAGAACCACATTCCTGTAAAGCTTAGAGAGGATCTCATGTTAAATACTGTTGAAGTAATATGGCTACAGGTTCATCTGCCTCACCTAAAGCCCATTCTGGTGGGAAGCTGCTATAGACCACCAAGTGATAACAGTCAGTATCTGGATAACGTGTGTGAAATGCTTGATAATGTATGTGATATCAACAGAGAGATATATTATCTGCGTGATTTAAAATATTGACTGGCTTTCATCAAGCTGCCCACTCAAGAAAAAGCTTCAAACTGTAACCAGTGACTGCAACCTGGTTCAGGTTATCAGTCAACCTACCAGGGTAGTTACAAACAGCACAGGAATGAGATCATCAACATGTATTGATCACATCTTTACTAATGCTGCAGAAATGTGCTTGAAAGCAGAATCCAGATCCATCGGATGTAGTGATCACAATATAGTAGCCATATCTAGGAAAGGAAAGGCTGGGCCTAATATAGTGTATAAGAGGTCATACAATACGTTTTGTAGTGATTCCTGTGTTGTTGATGTAAAGAAATTGTTGTTGTTTTGTTATTGTTTGTAGTGATTCCTATGTTGATGATGTAAAGAATATATGTTGGTCCGTGGTGTGTAATGAGGAGCAACCAGACACTGCACTTGACACATTTATGAAATTGCCTATCTCAGTTACTAATAAGCATGCACCCATTTAAGAAAATGACTGTAGAAAATCCCTGTGGATTGATGAGGAATTGAAAAATTGTATGGTTGAGAGGGATGAGGCAAAAGGAATGGCAAATAAGTCTGGCTGCACAACTGATTGGCAAACGTATTGCAAATTGAGAAATCATGTGACTAAACTGAATAAAAAGAAGAAGAAACTACACTATGAAACAAAGATAAATGACATAAAGAATGATAGTAAAAAGCTTTGGAGCACCTTCAATTACATTTTGGAAAAAAAGGCAAACTCAGCTCCATCATTCATTGAATCAGATGGCTCATTCATTACAAAACCGACTGATATTGCCAACTACTGTAATGCTTTTTTCATTGGCAAGATTATCAAACTTAGGCATGACATGCCAGCAACAAACGCTGACACTACACATCCAAGTATATCTGACCAAATTATGAAAGACAATAATTTTAATTTTGAGTTCCGTAAAGTGATTGTGGAAGAGGTGAAAAGTATTATTGTCGATCAACAATGACAAGCCACAGGGGTCTGACTACTTTGATGGAAAATTACTGAGGATAATAGCAGACGATATTGCCACTCCTATTTGCCATATTTTCAATTTAAGCCTACTAGAATGTGTGTGCCCCCAGGCCTGGAGGGAAGCAAAAGTCATTCCCCTACCTAAGAATAGTAAAGACCCATGGGGCGGCGCACAATTGGCCCAGCGTCGTCCAGGGTAGGGGAGGGAATGGCCGGAAGGGATGTAGCTCAGTTGGTAGAGCATGGCGTTTGCAACGCCAGGGTTGTGGGTTCGATTCCCACGGGGGGCCAGTATGAAAAATAAAAAATGTATTCACTAACTGTAAGTCGCTCTGGATAAGAGCGTCTGCTAAATGACTAAAATGTAAAGCCCTCTTAACTGGCTCAAATGGCCGACCAATCAGCCTGTTACCAACCCTTAGTACGGTTTTGGAATAAATTGTGTTTGACCAGATACAATGCTATTTTACAGTAAACAAATTGACAACAGACTTCCAGAACGCTTATAGGGAAGGACATTCAACAAGCACAGCACTTACACAAATGACTGATGATTGGCTGAGAGAAATCGATGATAAAAATATTGTGGGGGCTGTTTTGTTAGACTTCAGTGCGGCTTTTGACATTATCGATCATAGTCTGCTGCTGGAAAAACGTATGTGTTATGGCTTTACACCCCCTGATATGATGTGGATAAAGATTTACCTGTCTAACAGAACACAGAGGGTGTTCTTTAATGGAAGCCTATCCAACATAATCCAGGTAGAATAAGGAATTCCCCAGGGCAGCTGTCTAGGCCCCTTACTTTTATTCAAACTTTACTAACGACATGCCACTGGCTTTGAGTAAAGCCAGTGTGTCTATGTATGTGGATGACTCAACACTATACACATCAGCTACTACAGCAACTGAAATGACTGCAACATTTAACAAAGAGCTGGAGTTAGTTTCAGAATGGGTGGCAAGGAATAAGTTAGTCCTAAATATTTCTTAAACTAAAAACATTTTATTTGGGACAAATCATTCACTAAACCCTAAACCTCAACTAAATCTTGTATTATATAATGTGGAAATTGAGCAAGTTGAGGTGACTAAACTGCTTGGAGTAACCCTGGATTGTAAACTGTCATGGTCAAAACATATTGATACAACAGTAGCTAAGATGGGGAGAAGTCTGTCCATAATAAAGCACTGCTCTGCCTTCTATCAACAAGGCAGGTCCTTTTTACATTTACATTACATTTTAGTCATTTAGCAGACGCTCTTTTCCAGAGCGAATTACAGGAGCAATTAGGGTTAAGTGCCTTGCTCAAGGGCACATCGACAGATTTTCACCTAGTCGGCTCGGGGATTAGAACCAGCGACCTTTCGGTTACTGGCACAACGCTCTTAACCACTAAGCTACCTGCTGCCCCATCAACAAGGCAGGTCCTACAGGCTCTAGTTTTGTCGCACCTGGACTACTGTTCAGTCGTGTGGTCAGGTGCCACAGAGGGACTTAGGAAAATTGCAATTGGCTCAGAACAGGGCAGCACGGCTGGCCCTTGGATGTACACAGAGAGCTAATATTAATAATATGCATGTCAATCTCTCCTGGCTCAAAGTGGAGGAGAGATTGACGTCATCACTACTTATATTTGTTTAAACGACTAGCACACAGCTCAGACACCCATGCATACCCCACAAGACATGCCACCAGAGGTCTCTTCACAGTCCCCAAGTCCAGAACAGACAATGGGAGGCACACAGTACTACATAGAGCCATGACTACATGGAACTCTATTCCACATCAGGTAACTGATGCAAGCAGTAGAATCCGATTTTTTAAAAATAAACCAGATAAAAATACACCTTATGGAACAGCGGGGACTGTGAAGCAACACAAACACAGGCACAGACACATGCATACACACACATGATAACATACGCACTATACACACATGTACACACGGATTTTGTGTTGTAGATATGTGGTAGTATAGTAGAGGCCTGAGGACACACACTTAATGTGTTGTGAAATATGTTATGAATGTATTGTAATGTTTTAAAATGTATAACTGCCTTAATTTTGCTGGACCCCAGGAAGTGTATTAATGGGGATCCATAATAAATACAAATACACCACAGGAACTAACGTTACTCACTGTCAGTCATACCACACAACAAGACCAGACCTCCCCATCTGTCATACCCTAACCATCATTCATCTCTGGCCTCACTTTACAGGAATTCGGCCTTGCCCGGTTCAAGACCAGTGTTACAAAGACCATGAAAGGGTTTGAATACGTCCTGGCCAAAATGCAAGGTAAGATGGATGGCAGTAGTTTTATTACGCTGTAAAATAAGGTGGGCCGATCAATTCAGGTCCTTATTATTAGCGGTACTGTGTTTGTGGTGGAGAGGGAGAAACACTTGGATCAGATGGATGAACTGTTGTAGGAGGGTCGTTTTTATTAGTTCAATACAGAGAGGGACTGGCTATACTATATAGTTTCACAGTTTAATGTGCTATAAAAGGAACGGTCTCTTTGCTTGAATCTTTCATAGCAACAAGACATGCTGGAGTCTAGTCTCATCAGTTACAATCATATTCTACCAAGGACTACATTTAGGTTCAGACTACTGCTGCTTATCTGGTCTAAACCAGTCCCTGATTACAGGGGACCAATGACTGGTGTCCCAGGTCTAAACCAGTCCCTGATTTATAGGGGAGCAATGACTGGTGTCCCAGGTCTAAACCAGTCCCTGATTACAGGGGACCAATGACTGGTGTCCCAGGTCTAAACCAGTCCCTGATTACAGGGGACCAATGACTGGTGTCCCAGGTCTAAACCAGTCCCTGATTACAGGGGACCAATGACTGGTGTCCCAGGTCTAAACCAGTCCCTGATTTATAGGGGACCAATGACTGGTGTCCCAGGTCTAAACCAGTCCCTGATTACAGGGGACCAATGACTGGTGTCCCAGGTCTAAACCAGTCCCTGATTACAGGGGACCAATGACTGGTGTCCCAGGTCTAAACCAGTCCCTGATTACAGGGGACCAATGACTGGTGTCCCAGGTCTAAACCAGTCCCTGATTACAGGGGACCAATGACTGGTGTCCCAGGTCTAAACCAGTCCCTGATTACAGGGGAGCAATGACTGGTGTCCCAGGTCTAAACCAGTCCCTGATTACAGGGGACCAATGACTGGTGTCCCAGGTCTAAACCAGTCCCTGATTACAGTGGAGCAATGACTGGTGTCCCAGGTCTAAACCAGTCCCTGATTTATAGGGGACCAATGACTGGTGTCCCAGGTCTAAACCAGTCCCTGATTTATAGGGGAACAGTGGAACAAAGCAGTGGAACTGGCTTCCAGGTTGGGTTTGAATTTGAGGGATCTAAACTCTCCTTCCAAGGAAACCAACCATGTTCTAACCACCATGTTTCCTCTCGCTCTCTTTTCTCTAACCACCATGTTTCCTCTCGCTCTCTTTTCTCTAACCACCATGTTTCCTCTCGCTCTCTTTTCTCTAACCACCATGTTTCCTCTCGCTCTCTCTTCTCTAACCACCATGTTTCCTCTTTCTCTCTTCTCTAACCACCATGTTTCATCTCGCTCTCTCTTCTCTAACCACCATGTTTCCTCTCGCTCTCTCTTCTCTAACCACCATGTTTCCTCTCGCTCTCTCTTCTCTAACCACCATGTTTCCCCTCGCTCTCTTCTCTAACCACCATGTTTCCTCTTTCTCTCTTCTCTAACCACCATGTTGCCTCTCGCTCTCTCTTCTCTAACCACCATGTTGCCTCTTTCTCTCTTCTCTAACCACCATGTTTCCCCGCCTCTCTCTTCTCTAACTGCCACGTTACCTTTCTCTCTCCCCTCTCTCTCTCTCTCTCTCTGTCTCTCTCTCTCTCTCTCTCTCTCTCTCTCTCTCTCTCTCTCTCTCTGTGTCTCCCTCTCCCTCTCTCTCTCTGTGTCTCTGTGTCTCTCTGTCTCTCTGTCTCTCTCTCTCCCTCTCTCTCTCCCTCTCCCTCTCCCTCTCCCTCTCCCTCTCTCTCTCTCTCTCAATTCAATTTAAGGGCTTTATTGGCATGGGAAACGTGTGTTAACATTGCCAAAGCAAGTGAAGTAGATAGTAAACAAAAGTGAAATAAACAATAAATATTAACAGTAAACCTTACACTCAGAAGTTCCAAAAGAATAAAGACATTTCAAATGTCATATTATGTATATATACAGTGTTGTAACAATGTGCAAATAGTTAAAGTACAAATGGGAAAATAAATAAACATAAATATGGGTTGTATTTACAATGGTGTTTGTTCTTCACTGGTTGCCCTTTTCTTGTGGCAACAGGTCACAAATCTTGCTGCTGTGATTTCTCCCAATATATATGGGAGTTTATCAAAATGGGGTTTGTTTTCGAATTCTTTGTGGATCTGTGTAATCTGAGGGAAATATGTCTCTCTAATATGGTCATACATTTGTCAGGAGGTTAGGAAGTGCAGCTCAGTTTCCACCTCATTTTGTGGGCAGTGTGCGCATAGCCTGTCTACTCTTGAGAGCCAGGTCTGCCTACGGCCGCCTTTCTCAATAGCAAGGCTATGCTCACTGAGTCTGTACATAGTCAAAGCTTTCCTTTAAATTTGGGTCAGTCACAGTGGTCCGGTATTCTGCCACTGTGTACTCTCTGTTTAAGGCCAAATAGTATTCTAGTTTGCTCAGTTTTTTTGTTAATTCTTTCCAATGTGTCAAGTAATTCTCTTTTTGTTTTCTCATTATTTGGTTGGGTCTAATTGTGTTGCTGTCCTGGGGCTCTGTGGGCTCTGTGGGGTCTGTTTGTGTTTGTGAACAGAGCCCCAGGACCAGCTTACTTAGGGGACTCTTCTCCAAGTTCATCTCTCTGTAGGTGATGGCTTTGTTATGGAAGGTTTGGGAATCGCTTCCTTTTAAGTGGTTATAGAATTTAACAGCCCTTTTCTGGATTTTGATCATTAGCGGGTATCGGCCTAATTCTGCTCTGGAAATGATTGATTTCCCCCTCCAGGATGGAGAAGCTGTCTTCATTAAAGTATGGGGATTCTAGTGGGGGGATATAGGTAGCACACAGGAGGACATTTTTCTCTGTTGAGATAATTTCCTTTTGAATTTCTACCCAAATGTAAAATGTTCCTGTTTTGATTAATTTAATAGAGTGAGTTAGGTCTGCTCTATACCAAATTAGCATACCCCCTGAGTCCCTTCCCTGTTTCACACCTGGTAGTTTGGTGGATGGGACTACCAGCTCTCTGTAACCTAGAGGGCAACCAGTGGGTCCATCTCCTCTATACCATGTTTCTTGTAGGATGACAATGTCTGTATTTCTGATTTCTTTGGTGAAGTCCAGGTTCCTGCTCTTTAGGCCAAAGGCAGATGACCTCAGGCCTTGGATATTCCAGGATGAGACAGTGAAGGCTTTGTGTTCCATAAAGTGTCCAATGTTGTTAGTCGTGTGGTTTGGCCTCAGGCCAGTAATTGTGAGCAGAGCCTGCTGAGCATCTGGTACATGCCATTGGCTTGGGCTAGTGTAAGAGTGGGGGTTGGGCCTGTTTGCCTGCTCACGGCCTGGGCGTATGTGTGACTTTCATGTTGAGGCCCTCTTTGCGGGAGTGGGGGGCTTGGGGTGGGTAGGAGGGGCATAGGTCTGATCTGATGGGGCCTAAATGGGGTGTGGGCATGGTTGACATGGGGGGGGGGGTGTTAATTGGTGGGGGTGGGGGTGTGGATGTGGCTGGTGGTGCTGTGGTCTGGATGTAGGTCCTCTCGGCGGGGATCCTCTGTGTGTGTAGGTCCGGGGGGGGGGGGGGGGTCTCGCTGGCCTGGGCGGGGTGTCTGTTAATCTGTTGCTCCTGTGTGAGGTGTTGGGTCTGCGGTTGAGGGCGATATCCTTTAGGGTCCGGGCGAAGGTGGGCACTGCTGCCTTGTATAGGTGGACCTGGTCGTAAAGGCTGTTCAAGTCCAGGGTGGAGTGGAGGGCCAAGTAGACATTAGGGTTTGAGGCACAGTGACGGGAAATGCATTCTCCCGCTGTGTGGTGGCAGGGTGGAAGTATTTTCGTGGTAGCAGGGTGGAGATAACCACTTGGGGAAAGTAGAAGAAGCTTTTTCTATCACTCCCTTGAGTGATGTGGCCACCCTTTCCTGCTGTGTTCTCAGGTCATTTGTGCCTGTGTGTATTATTATGTGGCTGGGTGATCCTAGTCGGTCCTCAGACAGAAGGTCTAGGGCGCGCTGGGTGTTTGGACACCAGAGTTTAGACACTGTGTGTTCGGGAAAAAGTTTATTTTCTTGTATGTATTTCCCGTTTGAGTCCATAAGGAGTACAATCTGTGGCTTGTGTATGTCCTCAGTGGGTGTGGGGGGGTCGTCAGGAGGGCTCTCAGGGTGGCTGACAGGGGGGGTGATCAGAGGGGTTGGGATCCCCTGGGCTTGGGGTTCTTCATTTGTTTGTCTGGCTGTGATTTCGAGACTATGGTCAGGGTCTAGGGTGTACTGTTCTGCTGCGGTGTCGAGACTTTGGTCAGGATCTGAGGTGGGCTGTTCTGCTGGCTTCTCTGCGGGGGTGGCCAGCTCTCTAATGGGTTGTTCTCTGTCACCCGTCATCGTTCTCACCTTCTCCTCCAGCACTCTGATCCTCTCCTCTAGTGCTCTGTTCTTCTCCTGCTCCTGCTCTTTCTCCTGTTGATGTTGTCTCACCACAGTCCAGAGTGCAGACATGTCTCTCTCCACCTCCAGCTCTTCAGGTCTAGTTAAGGGGGTGTTGTTGTGCTGGACTGTTGTCTGGGTCTGTGCTGACTGGAGTGTGTTCACCTGCTGTTCCAGCTCCACCTGCCTTACCTCCAGCTGGGTGAAGTTATCCTTCATTTCAGTGAGGGAGTAGTACTCTGTGCTGGGAAGTTGACTTTCCGCTTGGGGATGCTCTGTGGGGTTATTTAATGAAGAGTTCTGGTCTGACCCGCTCGGGGTAGGGGTATCTTTCTCAAGGGAGAGCTTCTCCTGCTGAGCTATTTCTTTGATTAGGTGAAAGTCCAGCTGGAACTGTTTGGGGTTGCCCTGTACCATTACTGTTCCAGATTTATAGAGATTTATATTAGCTGACTCAGAGTCCTCGTTGTCTAGTATCCTGAGTTTCCACCCATCGCTAACACCCCTCCTCTTAACAGAGGGGTAGTGTGCTAATATAGCACTGTGCCATGCCAGGGGATGGTCTGTGTGGAACATTAAGTTGCTTATGTTCCCATTTTTATAAAAGTCAGCAAAAAGTGTCTCCTGATTTCCCATAAGGAGCTTCATTTTGTACTCTTTTCGTGTCTTATCATTCTTTACATTCAGAGGGTGTATTTTAATGACCTCTGAACAGCGGGGGGGTGCTTCTAAGGCCTCTCCATTTGGTTGGGGTAGACTGTACGACTCTCCTGCCATTGTTGGGCTCAAGGGCTTTGACACCTCTCACTTCACACCTCAGTGCTAATTGAAGTTGTATCTCTTTGTACAAGCAAGCTTAAGCTTGGTAGCCTTCGCATTCAGTCCTTATAAAGTAAAATATATCACTGTAATGTATTTTTCTTCTTGGTTTTTGAAAGTGAAAAATAGCTTCAGACTAAACATTACTCACTCAATTCCAGGTTGGATGGTGTTTTCAGGTTTCAGTTTGTTTGCCAGAGCATTTGCTGTATAGTTTGGGAATAGTCATCCTTGGTAGTAGAAAGCCTTCCAGGTAATTCCGTCCAAAATCAGGGTGTAGGTTTGGAGTGAAGGTTATGTTGTGGAGGGTAGCATCCTGTATATGTCCCTGCCAAAAAATCCTACTTTATCTAACTCTAAATCTATATTTTTTGAAAAAACATCCTAAAAAATGCAAGAGCAATGTCTTTGAGCTCTCTCTCTGTCTGTCTGTCTGTCTGTCTGTCTGTCTGTCTGTCTGTCTGTCTGTCTGTCTCCCTCTGTCTTCTCTAACCACCATGTTTCCTCTGTCTTCTCTAACCACCATGTTTCCTCTGTCTTCTCTAACCACCATGTTTCCTCTGTCTTCTCTAACCACCATGTTTCCTCTGTCTTCTCTAACCACCATGTTTCCTCTGTCTTCTCTAACCACCATGTTTCCTCTGTCTTCTCTAACCACCATGTCTCCTCTCTCTCTCTTCTCCTCCAGGTGAGATCCCCTCCAGGACCCTGGCTGAGCATGCTACAGAGAGGGCCAGGGAGACTGCTCTGGCAGCTAAAGAGAGAGCCAAAGACCTGGCCTCACAGGCTCACAAGAAACAACAGTATGTCTGAGCTGCCAGCGTAGGGTGAAGTTGTCCCTAGATGCTGATATGGTTAGGATTGGGGCAGGGGAAGCTGATCCATGATCTCTTCCAAGAAAACTTCAACCCGGAGCGCGAGGTGCCAGTGGGAGGAACATTGGCCAGACCTGCCTGGATTCAAAGACTATTTAGAAATAATTTCAAGTACTTTATCTGGGATTGATTAAGCATGCCTGGCATAATGGGAACCAATAGAATACTGCAAACCCATGCTCATCCGGCGCTCCAGACAGGCTCAAGCAAATACAAAAATGGATTTCAAAAATGTTGAATAGTATTTGAACTCAGGTCTGGTTGGCTCTAACTTGCTGGTCCAGAATCAGATTTTATTCAACCCCCCTAATGATTACCTTTGGAGGTAGGGGAATCTGATCTGTGATTAGGGTTGCAAAATTCCGGTAACTTTTCACAAAATTCGCAGGTTTTCCAGAAAAACCAGTTGAAAGATTCCCGGACCAGGAGGGAAGCAGGACGTCTGGAATCCTCCAACCAGGATTTCTGGGTATTTTGTGAATGCTTTAGTAATTTTGCAACCGTAGGTGTGACCGTGAGCTAGGGGATGGACCATTAGTAAAATTTAGCTTGATCTGAAAATGTGGTCGGAGGCTTCGTATGGAGGGTGTGACGCAATTCCGAAGCCTCCGGAGGCATGCAGAGGCCAAATCAAGCTCCGTACCGAATCGCCGTGCGACTCCCAAATTTTGTAACAATGCAGAGGGCTCCGTATAGCTCCGCAGTGACTTGATTGGTTGATTTTAGGTGAGGGAGGGAGGTCCTGTGTAAACACAAACTCACTTCCTGGACATCTTCCCTCACAACAGCTCTGCGAAGCGCCCAAAAAAAAGTATGTTTGCTCTGACTTCTGCAGAGGCTGCAGCGTACTGCTGTCTGGCCTGGGTCTCAATAGCCCTCACTAGCTTCCTTTCCCTGTCTCCTTTCCTTCGGCACAGTACTCTTTTAACAGGTCGGTGAAAGCACTGGACTAGTTTCCATTGTACTCCCTCCACCTGTCATGGTCTTATCAGTTAGTGTGTAGATGCTGATCTCAATGAGACAAACCCTGCATAAATGAAGGCTACATATTAGTAGTGAAAGTGAAAGGAAGCGATGAGGCTAAACGCTATGGAAGTGGTTACTGTACGTCACATCATTTTTAAACTTGAGTAACTAGATTGATCTTGTTATTGTTGGGAGGTATGCGGCGGCATTAGGGATCCCACCCAGCAGGTGATCTACTTACTGCGGCATTAGGGATCCCACCCAGCAGGTGATCTACTTACTGCGGCATTAGGGATCCCACCCAGCAGGTGATCTACTTACTGCGGCATTAGGGATCCCACCCAGCAGGTGATCTACTTACTGCGGCATTAGGGATCCCACCCAGCAGGTGATCTACTTACTGCGGCATTAGGGATCCCACCCAACAGGTGATCTACTTACTGCGGCATTAGGGATCCCACCCAGCAGGTGATCTACTTACTGCGGCATTAGGGATCCCACCCAGCAGGTGATCTACTGTGATCTACGACGTTGGTGTTTGTCTGTCTTGTCCTTTATGGGAAGCTAGTACAAGAGACTGGTTCATGTCTCCAGAAATGACTTGTGACTCTTGTTAGGTTTCCATCTTGCTGTCCACCTACTGAACACTTTCATAGCCACCATGAGGATGATAAGAGTTTCACGCGGTTGGGTGAAGCTGTCCCTAGACGCTGATATTGGGTCAGTTTAGCATTTCCCCCACTAATGGTTAAGGTTAGGATTGGGGGAGGGGGAGCTGATACTGGATCTGTAAACCTACCCACCATTCCCTCCAACTCAGTGGGTGCGTCCCAAAATTGCACCCTATTCCCTATATAGTGCAACTACTTTTGACAAGAGCCCTATAGACCCTGATCTAAAGTAGTGCCCTAAATAGGGAATGGGGTGACATTTTTGGGAGTCAGCCAGCCTCGGTGCCCTTCTGTCTTTTACCAGTACAAGAGTCAACGGTGTAGTTCCTTTACGTCATATGGTCTGTTTCTCACCCTGTAGATGACTGGCCACATGTCTTTATTTACGTTTTGTGTTTTAGGCTTACTAGTGTAAATGTTTCTGCTAGCTAGACTGCTCAAAAAGCAAATCTCAAAGAAGTCTCACTCAGTCTTGATTCATCACTCTTTGCTATAAGAGTTATGGCGCTTAATTTAATTTTTTGATTCAGAATGATATTTCATTTGCTTAAAATTGAAGTTGTTACTAGTGTGATGATGGGGGTCCACATTGCTTGAACGTGATCGGCCTGGGCTGCTGCTGGGCTTTCTCTTGGCGTTGTGAAAAGACAGGATTGCTGAGGATGTCGTCGTCTGTCTGCTTGAGTCTTTTAAAGACACGCTCTGGAACTGTATCACATCCAGGGTGTGACTGTCGTTTTTCAACCTCCCGTTTTGGGCTGGATGTGTCAGTGTGTAGTTCCTTTAACCAATAATGCTCGAGGGGGTGTGGCATGTGGCCAATATACCGCGGCTAAGGGCTGCTCTTATGCACGACGCAACGCGGAGTCCCTGGATACAGCCCTTAGCCGCGGTATATTGGCCATATACCACAAACCCCTGAGGTGCCTTATTGCTATTATAAACTGGTTACCAACACAATTAGAGCAGTAAAAATGTTTTGTCATACTCGTGGAATACGGTCTGATATACCACAGCTGTCAGCCAATCCGCATTCAGGCTTGAACCACCCAATTTAGAAACATGCATAATCTATGAGCAGAATTACTGTCTCACCTCAATTAGCCATGAGATCCCTAGTTTGAATGAGACTGTTTTTCTAACACTTTTCCCCCCACGTGGGCCAGCCCTCAAGCAATTAGTTCTAGCCAGTGAGCTTCAGCCCCTCGACATTTGAGTGACAGCTAGCAAGATTACAGAGAGAGAGAGGGAGCAATGACATGGTGCACATCTGCACATATGTGACGTAGTACACGATATTCGGGGACCACTTTTGGCTCGTGAGCTCTACTTTCAGAACTACTGGCTAAAAAGTATACAAAAGTACTGGATAATCTCTTTTAAAAAATGAATGAATACAAATTATGAATGTGCTATGTTTGAGCAACAGTATCGGCTTATTGATGAATACCAATAAATATTTTATGTTTGTTTTCCTCAATCTCATAGTACCTTGTGTCTGCCTTGAATAAGAAGGAAGTGATTATTTTTCAATATTACAAATATGTATTCATATATAAAAGGCCCTAGTATAGAAATGCTACATGAGAGTACTGGGACAGAGAAAGACTGGTGACTGCATACAGACATTTTCTTGTTGCAATGACAAGGTCATAAGGCAGGCAGTCAGTCACCTCAGTGGGTAACATCCTGAAGGCAGTCAGTCACCTCAGTGGGTAACATCCTGAAGGCAGTCAGTCACCTCAGTGGGTAACATCCTGAAGGCAGTCAGTCACCTCAGTGGGTAACATCCTGAAGGCAGTCAGTCACCTCAGTGGGTAACATCCTGAAGGCAGTCAGTCACCTCAGTGGGTAACATCCTGAAGGCAGTCAGTCACTTCAGTGGGTAACATCCTGAAGGCAGTCAGTCACCTCAGTGGGTAACATCCTGAAGGCAGTCAGTCACCTCAGTGGGTAACATCCTGAAGGCAGGCAGTCAGTCAGTCACCTCAGTGGGTAACATCCTGAAGGCAGTCAGTCACCTCAGTGGGTAACATCCTGAAGGCAGTCAGTCACCTCAGTGGGTAACATCCTGAAGGCAGTCAGTCACCTCAGTGGGTAACATCCTGAAGGCAGTCAGTCACCTCAGTGGGTAACATCCTGAAGGCAGTCAGTCACCTCAGTGGGTAACATCCTGAAGGCAGTCAGTCACCTAAGTGGGTAACATCCTGAAGGCAGTCAGTCACCTCAGTGGGTAACATCCTGAAGGCAGTCAGTCACCTCCAGTGGGTAACATCCTGAAGGCAGTCAGTCACCTCAGTGGGTAACATCCTGAAGGCAGGCAGTCACCTCAGTGGGTAACATCCTGAAGGCAGGCAGTCACCTCAGTGGGTAACATCCTGAAGGCAGTCAGTCACCTCAGTGGGTAACATCCTGAAGGCAGTCAGTCACCTCAGTGGGTAACATCCTGAAGGCAGTCAGTCACCTCAGTGGGTAACATCCTGAAGGCAGTCAGTCACCTCAGTGGGTAACATCCTGAAGGCAGTCAGTCACCTCAGTGGGTAACATCCTGAAGGCAGTCAGTCACCTCAGTGGGTAACATCCTGAAGGCAGTCAGTCACCTCAGTGGGTAACATCCTGAAGGCAGGCAGTCACCTCAGTGGGTAACATCCTGAAGGCAGGCAGTCACCTCAGTGGGTAACATCCTGAAGGCAGGCAGTCAGTCACCTCGGTGGGTAACATCCTGAAGGCAGACAGTCAGTCACCTCAGTGGGTAACATCCTGAAGGCAGTCAGTCACCTCAGTGGGTAACATCCTGAAGGCAGTCAGTCACCTCAGTGGGTAACATCCTGAAGGCAGTCAGTCAGTCAGTCAGTCACCTCAGTGGGTAACATCCTGAAGGCAGTCAGTCACCTCAGTGGGTAACATCCTGAAGGCAGTCAGTCACCTCGGTGGGTAACATCCTGAAGGCAGACAGTCAGTCACCTCAGTGGGTAACATCCTGAAGGCAGACAGTCACCTCGGTGGGTAACATCCTGAAGGTAGTCAGTCAGTCACCTCAGTGGGTAACATCCTGAAGGCAGACAGTCAGTCACCTCAGTGGGTAACATCCTGAAGGCAGTCAGTCACCTCAGTGGGTAACATCCTGAAGGCAGACAGTCAGTCACCTCAGTGGGTAACATCCTGAAGGCAGACAGTCAGTCACCTCAGTGGGTAACATCCTGAAGGCAGACAGTCAGTCACCTCAGTGGGTAACATCCTGAAGGCAGGCAGTCACCTCAGTGGGTAACATCCTGAAGGCAGGCAGTCACCTCAGTGGGTAACATCCTGAAGGCAGTCAGTCACCTCAGTGGGTAACATCCTGAAGTCAGTCAGTCACCTCAGTGGGTAACATCCTGAAGGCAGTCAGTCACCTCAGTGGGTAACATCCTGAAGGCAGACAGTCAGTCACCTCAGTGGGTAACATCCTGAAGGCAGACAGTCAGTCACCTCAGTGGGTAACATCCTGAAGGCAGTCAGTCACCTCAGTGGGTAACATCCTGAAGGCAGGCAGTCACCTCAGTGGGTAACATCCTGAAGGCAGTCAGTCACCTCAGTGGGTAACATCCTGAAGGCAGTCAGTCACCTCAGTGGGTAACATCCTGAAGGCAGTCAGTCACCTCAGTGGGTAACATCCTGAAGGCAGTCAGTCACCTCAGTGGGTAACATC